TTTCTTTCCACATATACTCATCACATTTCCTTCTTTTCAGAAATATTAACATAAATATATTCCTGTAAGAATATCACATCACAATGCGAATATCTGGCGTTTCTCCTGAGAAAAAAAGATATGTTCCATTTATATAAAGATTAATATTGACGGAATCATTGACTATCTTAATCGTATACTGTGCGAAAATAAATGGAAATTATACTTTGAATTTGACAAACAATCTTTCTTATAAATTATTACAAAATTGATACTTATTTCAAGTGAATATTTTTATTATAATATATAATCAAAATTACAATATCATTTTCATGAGTAATTCATTGACATTTATGACAAATTTATATTAATATGGTTGCTTCTTCCATTAATGTCGAATTATTAGTTACTCTATATTCTATATTAATGTATATATGGTATCTTTTATACTATTTGACAAGTGATTCATTTATATTAAAATCTACGTATTAATGACATACTACTGAGAATTCATTGGTTTGACTATATTCTGGTCGAATTTTATTGGATTTCTGTAATATACGATTAGTGATATTCACATTGTGTGAGAAGTCTGATTCATTTTATGCATCTACAGATAGAATATCATAGTTTCTACAATCTTCTGGAGATATATAGACAAATATTACAATGACTATTGAATGTTTAAAATGTGACTAATGTATTACTTAATTCGGTATAGGTCAAGAACAAATTATAGTGAAGGACAACAAAAAATGGAAGAAATTATAAAACGATCTGTTTTTAAGAATATGATAAATCATTCGAAACATCGTAGAACTATAGATTTTATTGTTTCCTGTAATTTTTTTTATATTTATAAAAACTTTATAATTTTATAGTATGATACAATTGTGTGATGTATAATGCTTTACTATTTGAAGAAGCTTATTTATAAACTTAGCTCGGTTAATTCTATACTGAAATCACAACGATTGATTCAATATGAGAAGAGAAAGACATAGGAATATATCAGTCGAATTTTAAAGTACTTATAAACAAATATATATAATCATATATATAAAAGAAGAAGGACAATTCAAGAAAAAATGAGAGAGAGAATACCTGAAAAAATGCTAAAACGAGATAAGTATAGCAAACAATATATATATATATCTGTAGGAGTAATTCTTCCGTCAGTTTGTCTTGTAAAATATTTGTGCAATCCATCGTAACATAAGTTTCAATTGTGAAAGTTATACGAAATTTTTCGTATATTTATACAAAATTTTGAATATTTTTCCTTGTGGTATAGTTTGAGAGCGTCCTGATTACTCTATTAAATTGCGTAGTTTTTTATTTTATTTATTTCAAAAATTTTTCGAAAAATGTTACATATGTTAGTTTGAATAGAACTGAGAATTTAGTGCTTATTGTCGAATAATAACAGAGGTAGAGAGAACAGAAGGAATATGACATATACATTTACATATGTGGGTGCATATATATAGGATCACAATAAGAAATAATTCCACACATATATGAGATAGAAGAACGCAGAGGAATGTCCCAACACGAGGAGAGGGATAAATCCTATATGTATATCTCCAGCCATAAAATACTACCTACAATAAATTTAGAAAAAACTATCATCCACAATTCTTAAGTAATAACTACGAAATTACTTCTCAACGAAGTGTTTTTGATAACTATAGTTTACTAAGATACTGCTCATTTTTTATTTTATATAAAATAATAGATTGTCTCTATTCATACTAAGCTATTTTATATATTTTAAAGCTTATGGTTTGTTTTTACCATAAACTTGACGACTTTTCTGAGAAATATATTCCAAAAATTTTGTTTTCGTACATAGTTTTTTTAGTTTTCTTCAGAGCAATTTTTATCAATAATACATAACGTAATAAAATATTAATATCTTTATCGTTCTAAATAATTCGAATGAGATTTATATTTAGTCGAGCAGATGAAGATTTATCAATACTACTATAAATTTAGTTTTTCTGGAATAAGAAAATTATGTAGATCTTAGTATTCAACTTTATGAATATGAAATTTCAGAAGATTCTTTCTAATCTAATTATCAATTCTTAAACAAAAGAATTACGAAATTGAAATTATTGTAAAATAAAGTTTACCATCAGAACTATTAGTTTGCAATAGTGTCCACTACCATCTTTCTCAACAGTTCATAAAATAAATTCTTTGTGCACTACTAGATCGAAAAATATCAGATAATAAAACTTAGTGTCGAAAAATGATTTTGAAAAAAATTACATGTTGTTGTAAAGCAGTGTAGCTGTAAAAATGATCAAATGATATTATTTCTTTTAGGAAAATCAATAAAAAATACTTAGATAATACATTCAAATGATCTAATGGTAGTCTAATTGCATAGTTTAGATATTGCAAGTGAAATAGAATCAGTTCAATTAAGTGATTCTATTGAATTCATACCTAGTCCAAAGTTCGATACTTTTTTATTATTTTTGTGTGACTCTGTGTTTTTTATCATAAGTATTGTCGACATCGAACAAAACTTTCGAAAGATAGAAAGCATCACCGATAGTTCATAATATTAATCATGTTCTTGATGTTGAACACATCGTTTAACTATTACAGTCATAATAATCATTCGAATTTAAATATTAATGAATTTGTCTATATTATGGCAAAGCAAGTTTATGTATTTATACTTCAGAGATAACTAATTAATCTATATATATATTGATATTTGTTATGACGATAATCATTATATTGTCATGTCAGTGATTTAAACAAGTGAAGAACGTGATATATTCGACGCTTAGTAGTCATATGAATAATATGACAGGATGAGTAACATGTTCTTTTCCAATTTAACCATATTTATTATAAAACGTCGACTATTCACCTGTTGCTGTTATCTAACAATTAAAAATGAATCATTGTTACATCATGATGCTGGATTTTTCCTAATGTGGTTTATTAAATATATAAGCTTTAGATTATTTTATTATTCATTTCTTTAACTATATTCTGTAATAAATGGTTGGTTTCAATATGGGTAACAGAGATAATATCTCTTCCAACTATATTTGCATTATATGTTCATTATTACTACGAGATCCTGTTCAATTAACCGAATGTGGTCATCGACAATGTCAATCATGTATCGATACACAACATCAGTAAGTTCTAATATTATTTTACATTCGTATTTTTCAATATCTTCTCTTAGAAAAATAATTATATGTCCAGCATGTCAAATACCAACATCAATAAATGAAGTAATATATATTTGATTTTGTTTTAATTGATCATAATGATTCGTTATTTAGGTGATGATTGATCGAGGTTGCAACAGTGACATGCAATCATTATCGATCAACTGTTTATTCTGTGAATGGAATGGTATTTTACAACATTATCAAGTAATATCATATACATGCTCCTCTTATATTGTTCTATTTTCTCTCTCTTATTTCGTTCAAAGGAACATCTCGATCAATCTCATCCAAATCCAAAATGTCAATATTGTAATTGACAATTTGATTCACACAACAAACTTAATGAACATCAACTATCACAATGTCAAAAAGTCACAGTCGACTGTTTGTTAAAACATTTTGGCTGTGATGAACAAGTATTTATATTTTTCACTTGAACTCACAACTCAAACTATGATTTTCTTTCTTTCTAAGATTACTCGTGATACAAACGAAGCACATTATCTTACTCAACAACATCAAGAAGCCATACTCAATGCTACGAATCTAATCAAATCACAATTAACTAATACACAAATGGACATTGACTCTTCCCAAACAACAACAACCGTTACTAATCCTGCCGTAGGTCACTTGCATCAACATGTCAACAATGAACCACTTCGAGTTCAACTTCAAATATTGACTGAAAATATTCCCCAACTTAAGCAGTCTATCGAAGACTCTCATCGCTTCTTAGCAGGATACAAAATGAATCAGGATATTCTCAGTCAAGATGCGTCATCATTAAAAGAGAAAATCAATGATCTACAAAATGTTTCATATGATGGAACATTTATATGGAAAATTACAAATGTTAAAGAAAAAATCGGTAAGTTACTAGAAGATTAGTTATTTTTTATAGTGAAATAGAACTAATATAAAATATATCCATTACTAAGAAATGAAATGCATCAATGTAGTATATTTATGTTCAATAGTTGAATTATAACTATTGTCTAAATACAATATTAAGTTATGTTTATTTATAGGTGATGCTCGATCTGAAAGACAAAGTTCCATTTATTCACCTCCATTTTATTCTTCGCCAACTGGATATAAAATGAGACTTCGATTATATCTTTTCGGTGATGGAAATACTCGACGAACACATATGTCACTATTTTTTGTACTTATGAGAGGTGTGAATGATGCAATACTCAAGTTTCCATTTAATTACAAAGTTTCATTTTGTTTGTATGATCAAAGTGGTGAAGAAAAACATGTGATCGATTCATTTCGACCAGATATCAAATCAAATAGTTTTCAGCGACCTCGATCTGATATGAATATTGCAAGTGGAATACCAAAGTTTATTCTATTATCAATTCTTGAAGAAGAAGACAGTCGATATGTTCGAGATGATACAATGTTCATCAAAGTTATGATTGATTTTTGTAATATCGATATGGCATTATTGTCGTATGTGTTTAGTCTGAATCCTGGCCTTCCAATACATATAAGAGAGACAATGATCGAAGAGGAATCGGAGAGACGTCAAAGAGCAGCAAATGAGATAATTGGAGAACAACCAGATTAGTTAAAAAATTGGTTAAAGTTTACTGACTATTTTTTGTTTTCTGCTTTTTTGATTAAGGTTTTTTTTCTTCACATTTCAAAAACAAGATATAGAATATAATATTAAATAGAGCTATTTTTATTGATTTTTAAATCTTAAAGATAAAAAATGTATCGTTTCATTTCATAAAATATTTGCTGTACTTTGAATGTCTTCAATATCGTCGTCTTTTCTAATATAATTATACTATGTAGATCTAAATCAAAATCAATAGAAGTGTACATATTTTGAGTAAATATCAAGTACGCATTCCATTTTCTGTTTATGGTTATGTAAAAAATAAACCATTTTGTTCATTTTAACAAATATTTGAATAATGACATATCCAACATCGAAAGATTATAACTGCTTATAAATATATATATATATATATTCTTAAAATATTTTAGGTGATAAAAACGATGTCACTTGCCATTAAAAAAAAATGCTACGTATTGTTTGTAGAGTATAATTGTTGCGTCATGGTTTGACAACATTACAACAGACCACTTTGATATGACTATGAAAATAAATAAAAATTTCCCAATGTATGAGTAACTGGTGCACCTGTAGTTTTATTCACAATGAAATTTGACGAAGTAGTTGTTTATTTAGAATACAATATCCACACCATTATTTTAATAGTGATAATAAATCATGCTACTATTTTATTAATTATGAATGATCATATAACAATTTATTCAACTAGGTTAGTAAATATTACGTTATTAATTATTTATTCTCTCAACAAGACATTCAAGTATGTCTTAGTTGTAAAAATTGTCTTATCCTAAATTTTATATAATGAAAAAATGAATTAGATAGGCGTCATTATAATCTATATATCAATAAATATATCGAACTATGAATATTGAAGATTGTTTGTACTTGACAATCAATAAAGATTGGTTCTGTGAGTTATTTGATTGAGTAAGAGACGTAACGGAAGTTGAAAAATAATTTAAACTACATGTAATTAGATTAAGACTTCTTTTGATTGATTATAAGGAGAGACGTAACAATATAGGAAAAGTTTCTCTTTTATGATTTATAGCATTATTTCTCTGCGAGTGTGGGTATTAATGTGAGAGAATAAAGAAATATCTACACTCACATCCTCAACGTTTTCTTTAAGTATATTTCGTCATTGTACTATTAGATAAAACTTCTTTGACAAAATTTTTTCTAAATCACATATGCTCTCTTCTTACTTTGCATCAATATTAACACATTCACGTTTAGAGAGACCATCACTACACACATGAAAACGCCGAATCAAATGGAAATAACTTGAACTTTTCTTACTCATTTCGTTGTGAATCCACAAATAGTTACGATGCTAAAAAATGAGAACAGCGCGTAAGAGCTAATAGATAAGTTTCGTATTTCAAAGACAGGCTGGAAATTCTTGAGGGACTCCGCCATCGAATATCGTAGGATAATAGAAGAAAAGAAATAATACATCATATATGACAACGAGTAAAATAGTTATACCAGAAAAAGAACGAAACAGAATATAAGATACAGAACATAACGCATTATGACGATTTCTGATAGAAAAAGTGCTTGTGCTGGTGATATTATACTTTATCATATTTCTTCTTATCGAGAAATGCATCAATTTCATACAATAAGCATGCACTTGTATACTCGTCCAGCAGCAAGAAAGAAAAAACATGAAGGAAAAAAACAACAAGAACGAAATCAAATGGGGGCAAAGTACGACATGATGTATAAAATAAGAGCAATACTCAAACTGAGAAGGAATCATAAGAACGGAATAGACATCGTTACACGCATTTGTATAAATGAAAAAATATGTCAATCACAACCACAGTATCTTTCGAAAGAATGATTTTTAAAACCAAGGAATCTATGTTTGTGTTGTTTTTGTTTGAATTGTAGAATTTAATTTTTTGATTATTGAAGATCTATTTCGAAATATTTATTTAGTTATAAAAAGTTTAAATAATGTAAAGAAAAAAATGACGTCAAATAAGAAATTATTCTTCTCCAATATTATTTATAATGTTGTAATTGTATGAATAATGACTTTTAGTCTGACAATATCTGTTTACATTAAAGAAGATTTTTAAAAAATATGGGAAAATCGATGAAATCTTTTCATCTTATTCGTTATTAATTCTTTATGCTTTTATATTTTGTATATTTTGATTTTTATTCTTGAACACAATCTTAAAATCTCTAAATATTGAAAATCTATGGACGTGATTATTTTCAGTTAATTAAAGAAATTTGTTTTGATTTTAACAAGTTTATCTATTTCTTTAAATAAACATTTCTATACTCAAGCCAGATCAAGGTCTACCATTATATATTCAAACAAACAATAGTTTATTACATAAACTACACATTAGCTGACACTATTTGAGACAAAAACTTTTTAGTTTTATTTATTTTACTGATTTCAATTTCAGTTTGTATTTTTAAAACTGTCAAACAACAGTGCAATACCTGTTAACAATATTTATAAATACACAAGTTCTTGAAGTACTTTTGATACTACATTTGTAATAATTATACAGCGTTTTTTCAAATGACTCATGTGGTGGGCGAAAATAACATTGTCGATTTGCGTTGCATTTTCTAAGCAATACGTGCAGCATAAGAAACAGAACAAAAAAAAGAAATGACGCCTTCCAGGTCATTCTCCACGCAGTCAATAAAAGATCAGAGTATGACTAAAACATACGTCATGACATGACGATGAATAAACACTAGAACGCCCTCGAATAAAGATATATACTATAATATATAGTATATATAAATACTTATTTTCTTTATTATTCTATGTGAACAAATTACGATTATTCAACAAAACTTTCAACAACTTCAATGAAAAATATGTAACTATATTCATATAGTATTTCTGACAACTAATTCATTCAAGATACATTTTGGTAAGTGTAGTTTAACTTTAATCAACGAATTTATTCATCAGCTTTTTGTATTTTGGTTTTTAGGCATAAGGAAATTTCTCGAACAACCTTAGAACAAATTATGGAACACTTTTTGCTTAGATAAATAAAAGATTTTCTTTCAATTTGATTATGAGTAGTAGTATAGAGTGAGAAGTGTGTAATATTGAAAAGATGAAATCTTATCTAAATATACTTGAACAAACTATTTCTATTAATTTTATACTGTAATATCTCGTTCATACTTAAATTTATTACATTAAAACGCATGTTCTCTTTCCAACGTGACATGAGTATATGTACGTCGCATTATATGGTAGAAAAGAAAAAACACCTTTCTACTAAGAGGAAGACAAAATGCAGAACAGAAAGAATAATATATCTAATATATCAAACACAGTATTTCATATAAACAATAACTGAATACTTTACAGAGCATAATATATATAACTATTCAGCATCGTTTTCCTTTACATCCTCGTTACGAGAAATTAATAATATAAATTAATATAAGATAATATTAGTAATCATCATACAGTTCATAATAATCTTATTTTTTTAAATTTTAATAGAAACAACAAGATTAGTTTAGAAAAGAAGAAAAAACACACTAAATGATGAAACACATACAATTATATAAGTAGTGCACCTTTCACATTACTCTCTTATCCAATTAATAAAATACACTTATTATGTAAGAATCTTTATTACGTAGTTTTTCTCATTTTTGAACTATTTACAAATATTATTATAATTAGAAGTTTTGTCTTTCTTTTCATATATACTCATCACATTTCCTTCTTTTCAGAAATATTGACTTAAATATATTCCTGTAAGAATATCATATCACAATGCGAATATTTGGCGTTTCTCCTGAGAAAAAAAGATATGTTACATTTATATAAAGATTAATATTGATGAAATCCTTGACTATCTTAATCATATACTGTGCGAAAATAAATGAAGATTATATTTTTAATTTGACAATGAATCCTTCTTATAACTTATTACAAAACTGATACTTTCAAGTGGATATCGTTATTATAATGTATAGTCAAAATTGCAATATCATTTTTATGAGTAATTCATTGACAAATTTATATTAACATGGATGTAGTTGCTTCTTTATCGATGTCGAGTTATTAGTCAATATGTATTCTACGATAATATGTATATGGTATCTTTTATACTATTTGACAAGTGATTTATTTTCTATTAAAATTTACTTATTAATGACATACTACAGTGAGAGTCCATTGGTTTGACTATATTCTGGTCGAATTTTATTGGATTTCTATTATATACGTTTAGTGGTATTCACATTGTGTAAGAAGTCTGATTCATTTTATGCATCTACAGATAGAATATCATAGCTTCTACAATCTTCTGGAAATAATTAATGGAGAAATATTACAATGACTATTGAATGTTTAAAATGTGACTAATATATTACTTAATTTAATCTATGTAACGAACAAGTTATAGTGAATGATAACAAAAAATAGAAGGAGTTACAAGATAATATGCTTTTAAGCATATGATAAATCATTGAAAACTTTATAGAACTACTAATTTTATCGTTTCCTGTAATTTTCCTTATATTTATAAAAAAATTATAATTTTACAGTATGATTCAATTGTTTGTTGCATAATGTATCATTATTTAAAGAAGCTTATTTATGAACTTAAATCAGTTAATCCTACATCGAAATCGTAGCTATTGGTCCAATATGCGAAGAGAAAGAAACAGGAATATATCGATCGAATTTCATAGTATGCATAACCGAATACATACTATAGTATATATATGTATGAATAATTCTTTCATCAGTTTGTCTTATATGAGATTTATGAAATCTATCATAACATAGATCTTAATTGTAAAATTTATACGCAATTTTCTGTATATATACATATAAAATCTGATATGTTTTTTGTTATGATATAGTTTGAGAGCGTGCTGATTACTCAATCAAACTGTATAGTTTCATATTTTCTTTACTTCAAAATTTTTTCAAAAAATGTTATATATGTGAGTTGGAATAGCACTGGGAGTTTAGTGTTTATCGTAGAACTATAACAGAGATAGAGAGAACAGAAGGAATATGAGACATACATATACATATGTGGGTATATATATATACATAGAATCATACTAAGAAATAGTTCCACGTTTATATGAGAGAATGGAAAGATTCATATATATATATGCAATAGAAGAACGAGAAAGAATGTTTCAACATTATGAGAGAGAGGATTCCAATAAGTATAGCTATAGACATATAGAATAATACTTACAATATATTTATAAAACAAGCAATCATTCATAGATTTTGAGTGATAACTACGAAATTATTTCTCAAGCAAGTGTTTCTGATAAGTATAGTATGCTAAGATGCTGCACATTTTTAGTTTTATATAAAATAATAGATTATCTCTTTTCAGACTAAACTATTTTATAAATGTTACAGGAGAATTTAAAATTCCGCTAGGGGAAATTGAAATTTTAATCTCTCCTAGGGCAAATTAAAAGTCTTTTTTTCTGTGATTTTTGTAAGAAAATTCAAGATTTTAGTTTCACCTAGGGTAATTTTAAATTCTCCTGAATTTTAATTTCTCCTGTAACATATATTTTAAAGTTTGTAATTTGTTTTTACCATAAACTTGACGACTGTTTTGAGAAATATATTGCAAAATAAGATTTACTATCAGAACTATTTGTTTGCAATGGCGTCCGCTACCATTTTTCTCAACTATTCATAAAATAAATTCTTTGAGCATTACTAGTTCGAAAAATATCAGATAATAAAACTTAGTGTCGAAAAATGATTTTGAAAAAAAATGCATGTTGTTGTAAAGCAGTGTAGCTGTAAAAATGATCAAATGATATTATATCTTTTAGGAAAATCAATAAAAAATACTTAGATAATACATTCAAACGATCTAATGATAGTTTAATTGAATAATTTAGACGTTGTAAGTGAAATATAATCAGCTCGATTAAGTGACTTTATTGAGTCAGTGCCTAGTCTCAAGTTCAAAACTTTTTTGTTATTATTGTATGACTCTATGTTTCTTATCATGAGTGTTGTTGACATAAAACTAAACTTTCGAAAGATAAAAAACATCACCAGTAGTTCATAATATTAATTATGTTGTTCATGTTGAAAACATCGCTGAAGTATTACAGTCATAATATTCATTCAGATTTAAGTATTAATGAATCTGTTTATTTTATAGCAAAGCAAGTCTATGTATTTATACTTCAGAAATAACAGACTGATTCACATGCTAATATTTGATATAAAGACAATCATTATAATGTCATCTCACTGATTTAAATGAGTAAGAAACGTAATATATTCTATTATTAATAATCATATGAATAATATTTCAGTAGGAGTGACATTTCTTTCCCAATTTAATCAAACTCATTTTAAGACTTCGACTATTCACCTGTTGCTATTATTAAGCCATAATAAGTGAATCATCGTCACATGATAATGAATCATTACTAAGGTTTTTTATTGTATATATGCTTCAGAAATTCACATTTGTTTTGTTCTGCGTCTTACCCGGATGCAGTTCATAAGAACGATCAACACTATGACAGTATATGCGTTCTATTCTTTTTAGTTCTTCTTTATATTTTTCTTTCTGTTCTTCTTCTTCTTATATAGATATTTTCTTCTCTTTCAAATACGAAGAATTAGCCCTCTCTCTGTTATTTTAGTTTTCATGTTAATCTGTGAGATAATTATTTTAAAATTTTCCCTTTTGTATTTATATAATGGTTTTCGCCTTTTTGCCAACCTATCTATAGTCGTTCGCTTTGTGTAGAGTGTGTGTGTGATAAATAAACATCAAGCGGATAACCAGCATAACGACATGCAATACGAATATGATCGACTCAGAAGTATTTCTTTTCAAACAAATAACGTCTGTTATTATGACTTTTGCATATGAACATTTATTTCTAAGTAGGCATGCGCCCAGTGCCAGTCGGATTGGGTATCCGGTTGGACTGTACTGGTGCATGCCTAATCTCTAAGATTTAATAAATAAATTAGATATTTATTTCAAAATTATATTCGATATTTGTTTTAGATAATTCATTTTATTCTTTTATTCATATCATCTTCTACATCTAGTCATAGTCTTCAAAAATATTCGAACATATTTTTTAGTAAACTACAAGCAATACCTTTTATACTATTTTATTATTCACTTACTTAACTATATTTCGCGATAAATGGTTGGTTTCAAGACGAGTAACAGAGATAAATTCTCTTCCAACTATATCTGTCCAACATGTTCATTATTACTACGAGATCCTGTTCAATTAAGCGAATGCGGTCATCGACAATGTCAATCATGTATCGATACACAATATCAGTAAGTTCTAATATTATTTTACATTCGTATTTTTCAATATCTTCTCTTAGAAAAATAGTTATATGTCCAGTATGTCAAATACCAACACCAATACATGAAGTAATATATCTGATTTTGTTTGTATTGATCAAGATGATTCATTATTTAGGTGAAGACTGACCGAGGTTGCAACAGTGATATGCAATCATTATCGATCAACTGTTTATTCTGTGAATGGAAAGGTGTTTTACAACATTATCAAGTAATATCATATACATACTCTTCTTATATTGTTTTATTCATTCTCTGTTTTATTTCGTCTAAAGGAACACCTCGATCAATTTCATCCAACTCCAAAATGTCAATATTGTAATCAACAGTTTGATTCACATAACAAACTTAATGAACATCAACTATCACAATGCCGAAAAGTCACTGTCGATTGTTTGTTAAAAGATTTTGGCTGTAGTGAACAAGTACTAATGTTTTTCACTTGAACTCACAACTCAAACGGTATCCGTCAAGAATGTCCTTTAAAAAATATCGTCGGACGTAATGTCCTTTTGTTTTTCTTTCTTCCACATAAATATATATGTAAGGACGAAAAACAAAAGGACATTTCCTAAAGGACATTCTTGACATGAACCACTCAAACTATGATTTTCTTTCTTTCTAAGATTACTCATGATACAAAAGAAGCACATTATCTTACTCAACTACATCAAGATGCTATACTCAATGCTACGAATCTCATCAAATCACAATTAAATGATACACAAATGGACATTGATCCCTCTCAAACAACAACAACGGTTACTAATCCTACCATAGATCACTTACAAGACGTTCATGAAGTTGTGAATGTATTGTCAAATGGTTTAGAGACACTAAATGATGATAATCAACATCTCAACAATGAATCACTTCGAGTTCAAATTCAACTTCAAACATTAACTGAAAACACTTCTCAAGTTAAACAATCTATCGATGAAACAACTACTTTTCTAAGCGGAGTCAAGCAGAATCAGGATATCCTCAGTCAAGATGCATTATCGATAAAAGAGAAAATCGATGATCTACAAAATGTTTCATATGATGGAACATTTATATGGAAAATTACAAATGTTAAAGAAAAAATCGGTAAGTTACTAGAAGACTAGTTATTTTTTATAATGAAACATAACTAATATAAAACATCCCCATTGCTAAAAAATGAAATGCATTAACATAGTATATTTGCGCTCAATAGATGAATTATAACTATTGTCTAAATATAATATTATTTTATGTTTATGTTTATTTGTAGGTGATGCTCGATCTGAAAGACAAAGTTCAGTCTATTCACCTCCATTTTATTCTTCACCAACTGGATACAAAATGAGACTTCGATTATATCTTTTTGGTGATGGAAATGCTCGACGAACACATATGTCACTGTTTTTTGTACTTATGAGAGGTGTGAATGATGCAATACTCAAGTTTCCATTCAACTACAAAGTTTCATTTTGTTTATATGATCAAAGTGGTGAAGAAAAACATGTGATCGATTCATTTCGACCAGATATCAAATCAAATAGTTTTCAACGACCTCGATCTGACATGAACATTGCAAGTGGAATACCAAAGTTTATTCTATTATCAATGCTTGAAGAAGAAAACAGTCGATATGTTCGAGATGATACAATGTTCATCAAAGTGATGGTTGATATGAGTGATACGAACAAAACATTATTGCCTTATATGTTTAGCTTGAATCCTGGTCTTCCAATACATGTTCAACAATTGTTGATCAAGCAAGAAGTCGAACGAAGAGTTCAACATCAACAACTGCAGACTTCTTCTACATAACCAGTGTTCACTCTCGTTATTTATGGAATATAATAATAACAACTAACGTATTTTAATAAATTGGATGTTAATTTTAATCTCGAATATGCTTCATATTAAGTTTTATATTTTTCTATATTTATTCAAGATTAAAAGAATTTTTCTGGGGTTTCATTTATGCCAATAAATCTTGCTACTTTTTAAAACGAGAAAAACTTAGTATTATTACCAATGCGTACCTAGTTATAATATTTGAAAATTTATGATACATGTCTAAAACAAAGTTAAAGTACTGGAGCATATTTTATAGTCTAATTTTTTTTTGAATAGTCAGAAAAGTATATTGCAATAAATCATAATAAGTATTTTCATAAATATGATCGTATAATCCAGTGAAACGTTTTGTTGATATGGCTTGCCTTCATTTAAAATACATATATTAGAGGGAGACAGATTGATTGGTTATTTTTACTAACAATTACACTATTATCAAAAGAAATTGATCGGTAGACATTCCGGTAACAAATTTTTGATTTACCATTATTGAATATTAAAATAAGTATTCTAGCAAAATGACTATTAAACTATTTATTTATCTAAGTAATAAGAAATAAAGAGTTTAGGTGAATTTTATGTTCAATTGCGAATTGTTATTGACCTTTTGTTTAAACCACCGATCAATAATTTTTCTAAAGCATATAAGAAGAACCACTTTTTGATTTTACAAAAAGATACCAATACATATTCTGTTGAATTTATAGACTTTGAAAAATTGCTGAGAAAATATCGAAAATGAATATTTTATGTAATATAAAAACTCGTTTACAGAAAAATGATTCGTAGTAATTATTGAGTCATTATGACTTTATCGAGAAAAGTTAAATCAAAAAAGTAATATTTATAACAACTTTTCTCGGAATTAAATATACTCGTATAGCGTTGTGAAGGAATGCGTTACATTTATAATACGTTGTGTTAAAGTGCAAATATATTTATTTCTCACAACAAAACAAATATTAGTAATAAATGTTGAGGTATGTATGAAAAGAAAGAAAAATTGCAAATAATTATTAATTCAAAGATTCTATTCCGACAATAGAAATGACTCTGATTAAAGAACTAGCTATCTATTTTAAAGGGTGAATGTGGATATGACTGTGGATAAAAAAAGACTAAAACACCCGGATCTAGACCCACCCTCAACCACACCCACAGTCTGTATAAACACAGACAACACTACTTGAATCAACTATTCATGATACAAATACAAATAAAAATAAATACGACAGAAAATTAATCTAACATATCCTGTTAAATAAAGTAGTAGAATGTATCGTATCATTTCATAAAATATTTGCTGTACTTTAAATGTCTTCAATATCCCCGTTTTTTCCTAATCTCATCATACTATGTATATCAAAACCAATAGAAGTTTATATATTTGAAGTAAATATCAAGCACGCATTCCATCTTCCGTTTATGGTTATGTAAAAAAATAAATCATCTTGTTCTTCATCTTAGCGAATATTTGAATAATGACATATCCAACATCGAAACACTATAATTGCAAAAGAATATATATATATATATATTCTCAAAGGTGCTTTAGATAATGAAAATGATGTCATTTATCATTAAAAAATGCTACGTATTGTTTGTAGGGTATAATTGTTGCATCATGACTTGAAATTACAACAAAACACTTTGCTCTGACTAAGAAAACAAACAAAAATTTCACAATATATATGTAATTACTTTTGGCGTCGAATATATTTAACCTTTTCGAACTGAATGTTATCAAATTGTAACATTTTACCGTAGAGGGTTACGACATTTTTGAAATGGCCGGCCGGAAATGGTTAAGCAATGTTTTATCTAGAGATCCATTAATTTCTATAACATGATATGGAAGATGACTATTTTTTCTGATATGAAATGTAATTGGTACATCTCTGGTTGTATTCACAATGAAATTCGACGAAGTGGTTGTTTATTCAGAATACAATATTCCACACCATCACTTAAATAGTGATAACAAATCGTGCTATTATTTTGTTAATTATAAAAGATCATCTAACAATATACTCAACGAGATCAATAAATGTTACGTTACTAATTATTTATTTTCTCAGCAACACATTCAAGTATGTTTTAATTGTAAGAATTGTCTTATTATATTGAAGATTGTTTGTATTTGACAATCAATAAAGATTGATTCTGTGAGTTATTTGATTGAGTAAGAGATCTAACGGCAGATAAGAATTAATTTAAACTAATTAGATTCGGATTTCTTTTGATTGATTATATGGAGAGACGTAATAATATAGAAAAAGTTTCTCATTTATGATTTATAGCATTATTCCTCTGTATTAATTATTGATCAATATAAAAGTCACTCGAACAACTTAGATCCATCTTTACTTACAGCTTGAATGATCAACTAAAAATAATATAAGTCAACTTGATCTAAAAGATTTTGTCTTTTTTTCTGTTAAGATAAACGCTAATATATTAGAGAATCAATATTACAATTGAATATAGTTAACAGTAAATGAACTTCTTCATAAAGACTAGATGTTCATTGTTATAGCAAATTACCATAGACTATACGAGTTCTATTCATTCAATATATTCATCTTAGGATTACTAACTACATAATCAATTTGTTATTAAACAAAATAAGAGACACTATATCTATTTATTTTTCACCATTTCTGAAAGACAAAATGGTTAGTAATTTTTACCAAGGAAAAAGTAATAAACAGTTTTTGATTTATATAAATGGGTTTATTAATTAGGATTCCCCTTCATTTGTAATTATAAGGAAAATAGTTATAAGAATAACTGTTGTTCAAACTGTTTTCTTCATTAAAAAAAATATTTATATGAGTTTTTCTATGAAAATCAAGTCAACTGAGGGACTTCACAGGCGGGCCAGTGGCTTAACGATAGGTGTGGCAATAATACCTTACTATGATAAAAAGAAAGTGTTTTTGAAATTCTGATAATACTACGTAACTGCTAGCTACATTCATGCGACGAACGAAGCTGTCTTGCTTCTAATATAATTTATTTGTTTGATGTTTTCTTCTTTTGGCATGAAGCAAATAAAGAACGCATTCGTTAAAAAATATTTATTTCGAAAAATTATTTTTCTTCCATCTTTTTTTGCAATAAAATCTGTTACTATTTTGTCAATATTAATCCCAAAATCTTTTTCCATATTCAAAAGAGCAATGCCTGACAATCTATCTTGTCCAGTAGTATTTCTTAGAAAAGTTTTTATCAGTCGCTACTAGATGTCACTGGAATAGATGATTTAAACAATGCCAGACTGCTTACATACTTTTATTACTTTTTCAGAGTTTGATATGACTATATAAATAAATAAATATTATGCTTAAATTTTTTGGGTGTGGCTGTTAGGAACGAATGATCGCAGTTTTGATGCAAATAAAAGAGAAATAATTTTTTTGGGTGTGGTAATGGCCACCAATTGCCTCGTAGTGGCCCGCCCCTGCATATAATGGATAACCAATTTTGTCGTTCGTGGACTCTGATTACTTAGATTTTGACCAATGATAATAATAAGTGGGCTGAGTGTTTCAAAAAAATTTCTAAGTTATTTTAAACACCTAAATAATTTCAATTAAATATTTTTTTAAATTTATTTAGTATTGAAATATAGTAGATAGCTTATCGTCATTACGATTGGTTACCAAACAACAGATTGCAATAAAACGAAAAAACCCACTCAAAATGTTATTACGTAATTTAGTGGGTTTTTTCCCATATGTACATTCAATGAGTACTATGTCGTCTTTCCCAGCTTTCAATACCAATTTTTCATGACCCAATCTTTCTCGCTCAGTTATGGTCTTTCTCCCATAAATGGAATTATTCAATTTCATCATATTTCTGTTGTTTAAATTGCATAATCCGTTTGAATAATGCATATACACCATTTTACAGTCACAAGTATAATTATATTTATGATTTTCGAACAAAAGTTAGTTGAGATTATAAAGCAAATATGGCGGCAATTTATGCTTCTAATCACTATGATTTATACAAGTGCTTTTAGTTTGTTTTCATACTGTAGAGTAGCAATGTGCTTTGAACTTTTTAGTATTTCATTCAAAGTCTGTACCTCTCTCTATGTTTTTTTCATTTCATGAACATTTCTGCATTCTTGATCTATTCTCTCTCATGTGTTTGCATTCTAGAATTTATTCCCTTTCTAGAAAAACACAACTTTAGAAACATAAGAGGTATAATATTTTCCCAGTTGCAGAAATTACTTTTTAAAATAGATCAATATGAATTTTCGGAAAAGCGGTTAGTATTCATGAAAAAAATATATACATATTCTTGTTTTTGTATTATTTTCTCTTTTATTTCCTCCAGATGAATATTTCGATCAATCTCATTCAAATTCGAAATGTCAATATTGTAATCAACAATTTGATTCGCATAACAAACTTAATGAACATCAACTATCACAATGTCAACAAGAGACTGTCGACTGTTTGTTAAAAGACTTTGGTTGTAATGAACAAGTATCGTGATTCTTTTGATCAAAGTAGCATTTAAAAACGTGTTTTATTCTAGATCATCCATGGGAAAGTGAGTGAACATTATGTTACTCAACAACATCAACATGCTGTACTCAATGCTACTCATCAAATGAAGTTACAATTAAATGATACACAAATGGAAATTGATCCTTCTCAAACAACGACAACTACTAACCCTGCGATAGCACACTTACAAGAAGTTCATGAAGTTGTCAATGTATTGTCAAATGGTTTGGAGACACTAAATGATGATAATCAACATTTCAACAATGAATCACTTCGACTTCAAATTCAACTTCAAACATTCACTGAAAATATTCGCCAAGTTAAGCATTCTATCGAAGAATCTCACAGCTTCTTAGAAGGATTCAAACTGAATCAGGATATTCTCGGCCAAGATGTATCATCATTAAAAGAGAAAATCAATGATAGACAAAATGTTTCATATGATGGAACATGCATATGGAAAATTATAAATGTTAAAGAAAAAATGGGTAGATTGTTAGGAGATTAGCTATTTTTAATCGTGAAACATAACTAACATAAAACATTTCCATTACTCAAGAATGAACTGTATTAATATAGTATAGTTGTGTTCAATAGATGAATTGTAACTGTTGTCTAACTGTAATATTATTTTATGTTTATTTGTAGATGATGCTCGATCTGAAAGAC